TCTGTTTCCTTCTATGCTACTGTGTCCTTCATGAAAATATCCACTAAGTGTCCTTTTAACACATAAAGCTAGAGCCAGTCTGAGACTAAGCAGTCAAGCTTAGTAGCTGGCCAACTGAATTGTAACCAATATAAGCTACAAGGCTCAGAAAGGGAGGGAGCACCTATGTTTTCCCTCTCATTTGCTGAATTACAGATGATCACTGGACTGTGGCAGGATATTGAGGGAGGAAAAGAACAACACATAGAGGAGCAGGTGAGGAGGTACTGCAACTGGCTGTAATAGAGAGAATTCAAATGCGTCAGAGAGGCGGTGAAAGTCAGATAATGGGAGATCTGGAAAGAGGAGATGAAAGGAGACTAAGCAAGAGGAAGAGGCATGAGAAAAAAGTAAGGGAGAAAGTGAGAAAAATGAGAGAGAAGTCTAAGGAATAGAAAATTTGAGCAAAAAGGCGTATTTCTTCTTCCCCTCTTCCCTCTCCCCCCTCCCCCCATCCCTCTAGTGCACTCCTCCCTGCTACTGTAACTGAAGAAGGCTCCCTCCTAACTGCTCCCCCTCTCCTACAGCAGGACAAAAAAGGCTGACTGCACATTTATAACATCTCATCACAGACTTGCCTACAGTGTTGAACCACCCCCTCCTCTGGCAAGTCTCATCCGTGAGAGCGTAGGGTTTGCAGTCAGTAATGGTACATGTTGCAGGAACAGCCCAGAAGCCTTATGCAGGGAAGCTGCTTTTACAAAGAGGTACTGATACAAAGCACTTGCAGATTTGCACATGCCTTATGGAAAAGGAACACAGATACAGTGACTCCCTTTCCATGGTAAATCATCATTAAAAATGTTCAACAGAATATAAAGAAGGAAAATTAATTTCTTGGCACGTTTCTTACATTTTCAGGAAATGTAGCAGGCAGCTGAGCTTTTGTTCTAGCTTTTACTGTGGAGGAACTCTTTTACCCACCGATGAAAATGTTTGCGTATCTTCACACAGTGTTCTTATACCTGTAGATGCAGATTTCTTTCACACAGAATTGAATGGGTGGTTGCAACAAAATTAAGACTGGATAGGATAGGTGACCAGAAACTGGTCAAAAAGTAAGAACATACCAATGAAAGCACATTTATAAAGATTCAGCTGTCTGAATACACAGTGCTGAAAATATCTTTATTGTCTTTTCAGGGAGATGAGCCATCTAATGAAACCTAATAGGATATTTCATTATTATCCTTCAGACATCCCACAAAGTTACTTAAATATATTATGCATCCATTTTACCTTTTTTTTTCAGTATCAAATAGCTGTAGCCAGCACATGTGTTTTTTACAGAACTAAAGGCAAAACATTAAGAATATTATTTATTTTGGGGGGCGGGGGGAAGGTCCAAACAGCTGTCGTCTTAAATTAGTCAAGAACTACTTTCTGGCTATTTCACCTTAAAAATGAGCCTCAATGATTTGACCAACTATCTTGAATATAGTAATTGTGGAGGACAAGAAACATGCTGCTAGTAGATTCTTATATTAACAAAAAATGCCTCATTTTACGCTACCCTTCTTTTTAGATCTCTGCAGCACGTGACTGGATTGATATTGTTCTTTTAATAAATAATGTGTCTGTATCATTATCATTCTGGCCAGTGCCTTCAGAACATATCCAGGAGACAGAGGAAGTATGCAAATTCAAAACACAGATTATTAAAAAGACCAAACTAATGACTCACACTTTCATTACGCAAAGAAAATAGTATTTGAAATACTGTCAAATTTGATAGTGGCAAAAATGAAGCACACTGCCCTGCATTTACAGGGGAATGATATTTTTAAAACATGCCAGTCAACTTTCTGATGTTTAATTGGTGGCTGAAGTGATCAGAACAGGAGGTTCCTCAAAGGTTTGAGCTATTCCAGGACAACATCATTGGTGAAAGTTTTTGACAGTATATTGCCTGTCCTTAGAAGTTTTGTTCATGTTCGTAATAAAAAGGAACTCTAAAGACTTCTTTTTGTACTTTGGGTTTTTGCTTTGCTTTTCAGTGAGCATTGACAGGCATGCCTGAGAGACTCCAATCGGTTTCAAAGCTGGATATGGACTGGGATACAAGTAGAGACAGCAGAAAAATGATAATGAAAGTGAACCATTCAGTATTCTGGTGACGCTGAAAAATTAGGACTGTTTACATAAGTCAGAACTTATTTGCATTTCCTGACATTTCTGGTCTCTTTTTCCCTCGATAGTGAGTTTATGTTATATAACAGATAGATTAATGAATAAAAAAGAAAAAAATAAGCAAAGCATCCTGCCATCTCAGTTAGTGGTACCTGCAGTTTGGGCAAATCGCTTCCCTGCTCTTAACTCTTGTTTCGAAAACAGATTCAGTGATATATGCATTCAGGACAAAGCTTTTAAAGAGCATCCAAAACTGAATGTTTAAATACTTGTTTGCACAGGTCTAGTTCATATTTTATACAGAGTATGGGCAGATTCAAATCTTGCATTTCTGAGTAAGCAGCATTCATAAACTATTTGTGAGTGTACTTTCAGAAACCCTTCAGAACTTGTCCCCCTTGTCTTAACTAGCATTATGAAGAAGCTTTAATAGATGTACTAGGCACACAAATAGTAGTTTCTAAATGACTCAGTTTCACAGTAGGCAGAACATATTCTAAAATTATTCTCCCATTTAGATACTCTTTCTGATTTCAAAATGAAATAGAAGTTATCAGAGTTAGAATTATATGCCTACTGACTACTGCTTTTAATTATTCTAAACATACCTGGAATTACTGTGTAGACTGATATTTATCAGTGCCAATACTTTCAATAGCAGGGAGGAGATCTCCTCCCCTGCCCAAGTCCCTGTTTTCCTGCAGGACAAGGGGAACAAATCACATGAACTCCCTCTAAGTAAGTGCACAAGTCACAGAGACAAAACATCTTTCACCATATTATGGGTAGGCTGGAATAGCTCTGCTGCTGATTCCTCCTCTCCATGACAGTAGAGAGGGAAGGTATTAAATATACTAGCAGTTTAGACAGCCCAGGAGGTATTCACACCTACATGAGATGACGCTCAGCAGCACATCAAGCTTGCTTTACCTCCAGGCATAGGACCTAAGTGCTGCACTCACTGACTCTGCCCCAGACCCCGCAGGCATCTTCCCACCTGTTTCCTTGTACCAGTGCTGCCCCTTGCCCTCACAGTCAGGTCTCACTGAGCCTTGGAAGAGTCCAAACTTTTTTATTTTGGCATTTTAAAGCAAAAGAAGGCACAGGAAGAACTTGTAAAGAAATCCATTTTCACCACCGTGCTGGCTGCAACTTAGGGCAACGGGAGCAGAGATTTTACCAAGCTTTCCTCTGCAGCATTGCAATGGAGAAAGCGCAACACCAGACTCGTGAAGTCAAATTAAACAAAGTACGATTAAAAACTTAGCTGCTGAGACAATATTAGATCAAAGCCGACCAAAGGAAAACACAGTCATGAAAGAAGTAATGGCATTAATTTAACTAAGTAATTCCTGAACACGACAGCCTGAATAATAGGAAAAAATCTCCCTATAAAATCCTCTCTCCCATTTCATTGGCACTGTAACACACTGGAAGTTTGGCAGAAAACACAGTAAAGATACTGTAACTCTATTAATTAACAGGGCCCGTGTATACGGAAGACTATATATAAGCAAAAAGACTAATGGCACAACATGGAAATGGAAAACAGGTGGTTCTGAGATTACATGTATCCAGCTTTCATAAACTGCAATAGCATCAGCTATGAAGATACAGAATGCAACTCACTGGACTGAAATGAGAACCCTGCTCTGATTTATATCTGCTG